GGAGGGGAGGGAGGGCGGAGCTTACGGTGGCGAGTGGCGAGGCGAGGTCTCGGCGGCGCGTGGCGCGCAGGAGCATCAAGGCCGCCATGGCTCTCTTCTCCTCTAGGGTTTTGGGGATTTGCTCTGCTCTGCTTTTGTGCGCAGGAGGGGAGGGGAATGCTCTGGAACTCCCTCGCTCTACCTCTACTCTACTCGAGGGCGGGAGCGTTGCCGCTCGGCTCGACTGTCCACTCGAGGGTGGGAGCGTCGTGTGGAAGGCTCTGGAAGCAAGGAACGCAGCCGACAGAGAGAGTGGGCCGTCGACTGAGTGGCTTTTCTTTTCCCGATTGTTAGGCTTGGCCCGCCACGGCCTCTCTCCTCTCCTCTCCTCTCCACTCCTCTCCTTTCCTCAAACTTCATCACCAAATTCTTCTAAAAAAAAAAACTTCATCACCAAATCAAAAAACCCAAGTCCCACCTCCAAAACAAATCAAAAACCTAAAGTTCTGATGCTCCTGTGGAAACTCCCTAGCTATTCAACTCAACGCACTAAGTGTCAACTAATTAATCAAAGCCTTGGAGGGAGGGTGTAACGGACCCGCTCCAAATCACACATCAAGGAAGAGGGAGCTTCAAATTGTTTCTCCTCGTTCCATTCGCTTCCTCTCAATGCCCCGTTTTTTTCGAAAAGGGACGCTTTATTACTTAAAAGCTTTAAGCATTACACCCCTCTCAATGCCCCGTCCGTCCACGTCTTCAATAAGTTCGCCTAGCGCCAGGGCCAGCATATCAAGCGTCACAAACGACTCCTGCTTCCGGCCTTTCGGTTTTCTCTTTTCCCCCTTACTTTGGTTTTTCAATTTTTCCTTTTTGCTTTTTTGGCTTTCCGGTTCTTTTAGTTTTGATTTTTCGTTTTGCTTTTTCATGAATAAAAAATTCATCGAAACCTATAAACATGAAGCTAATTTCAAATATCTCCATGTCACAAATCCAACATGAAAATGATTCGTGATTTCAACACAAGGTTCAAGAGATTACACATTTCAGGAAAAATATACTATCAAAGAAAAAAAACTCCTAGATTACATTGCATGTGCGCCACTTGTCCACACCAAACAAGTTGGGAGTGGCTTTTCAAAAGGATACCCCTTAATTCATGATTTCAGTCAAATTCACACCAAAAAGGCAAACACATGAGTTCATTGGGCCGACCCATTTTTAGGTAGCAAAACATACAAGACATTTCGGTTTTCCTATACCACACGCTTTGGTTTACTTTTCTCTACTGTTATTTTGATTTCCTTTTTGATATTTGCTTTTAATACTTTTTTTTCAAAAAATTGCACTATTCTAAAACAATGGCCACAAATTCGAAAAATTATTTGCCCTTCTGAAATATAATGTTTTGTTTTCCAAAAATGTTTGCTGTTTTGAAAATTTGTTCACAGTTTAATAAAAAAATCCGAATTTCGAAAATTATTCATCTTTTCCAAAGAATATTCACAGCTTCGAAAATGATCAAAAATTCAAAAAAATGCATTTTAAAAATGTTTGGATTCCAGAAAATGTTGATTTTTTAGAAAAAAAAAGGGATCAAAAATTGAAAAAAAAACATATTTTGTTTAAAATTTGTTCCCTTTTCCAACAATATTCCGAAATTTGCCCAACAAATGTTCTCAGATTTTCTAAAACGTTTGATTTTATAAAACCTTTGCTGCAATGCCTTGTTCCAGTGTTGCAGATGCTCGGTTGATCCTTGCAGTACTTGATCCAGCGGGACTGTGCATTTCCAAATTGCTCCCCTGTGCTACAAATGGGCCGGCCCACTCGGTCCCCTGTGCGAAAGGGCGACTACTTGTCGCAGTGCGCAGCATATAGGAGCTCCCGCAGTCGTGTCTACACATTTTTTTTCTTCTTTTACCACCCTTCCAATTTTAGGGCCAGATCATATTCCCCGCATGGGTCGCGGAATAGCAAACACACGCACCCTCCACCTAACAAATGACTAGTATATGGGCTAGCCTATTCGTGTTTCCTCCAAATTACCAGTTTCTATAAGGTTCTAGGACCTTCCCTGAAACAGTTTTTTCTTATTCCCATATTTCAAAATTTATTCCCATCTAGAAACATTTTTATTATTAATAAGAATTTTTGAAATATGGGAATAATTTCCAAATTCATGAACGTATTTTGAGTTGTGAAACATGTTTTCCAAATTCGTAATAATTTTTTTTAAATTCTTAATTTTTTCTGAAATTTGTGGACAAATTTTGAAATTAGATGCTTTTATAAAAAATAGGGAAGATTTTTTATATTAGTGAACATTTTTTAAATTTTGAAAATATTTTATTAAGGGTTTTCTATTTCATGCCCCTTATTGCTTAGTTGTGCTCTAGTTTGCCCCGCCAATCTTACATTCCTCAGTTTTTCCGTTCTCTAATAAGCGCAGCCTCAAAAATGTCCAAACAGGGCTTCCCGCCGGGTCAAAGTCATTGACCATTACTTAGCTCGGTTACTCAGCGTGGGATCCTTGAAATGCTGAAGGGTGCGACCATGTAGGAGACAGACTAATAACACTCTTTTTTTAGAGGGGCAAAAAAGGCATACTACTAGCAGGGCAAAATGGAAACCCTGCAATCGCGCTACATCACATCACATGAGAATGAGATGAGGGTCGATAACCCGGATGGCATCTGCTGCATGGGATGGGGGCGTACGGATGGGCGGGACATGCACGCATAATCCATCCGTGCATGAAAGGAAAGGAAAGGATCACGAGACGCAGACCGGCCCGACACCAAAATTCAGCGCGCAGCAGACCAGACTAGAGGATCATCATGAGCAAAAAAAAAAAACAAAGGCGACGGTTCGGTACGGTACACTAGGGAAGGGGAGGAAGGGCGGAGCTTACGGTGGCGAGCAGAGATACGAGGTCTCGGGGTCGTGCGGCGCGGAAGAGCAGTGAAGCCGCCATGGCGGACGCAGAGTCTCTAGCTAGCTAGGGTTTTGGGGATTTGGGGGAGGGTTTGGGAGAGAAGCGGCTCTCTCTGCTTTTCTTTTGTGTCGCCGCTCTCTGGAATGCTCTGAAACCCTCTCTCTCTCTCTCTCTCTCTCTCTAGAAGTCTAGAGAGGGCGGGAGCGTTGCTGCTCGAGTCGAGGAGCGTCGCGGAAGGCTCTGGAAGGAACAGCCGAGAGACATGGTGGGTCGTGCAGTGAGTGCCCGAGGCCGCTCGAGGCTTGCTTTTCCCCCTTAGTTAGGCTCTGGAATAGCTGCCACGGGCTCTCTCCTCTCCTCTCGCTTCACCCACTCCACTTCATCATCAAAAAACTAAAGTCCCACCTCCAAAAGAAATCAAAAAGCAAGAGTTGTGATGGTAAGTGTCAAACAAACCGGCGAGCAACTAATCAAGGGGTATCCTATCCCTTGGAGGGAGGGTGTAACGGACCCGCTCCAGACCCCACAACAAGGAGGAGGGAGCTGTTGGAAGGAGGAATGGGGGAAAGGGGCCGGTGCCGATCAAGGACAAGAGAAGTAGCTTCTCGCTTCAAATAGTTTCTTTTTTTACTTGTTCATTCTCGATGACTCACATCTAGGGTCCTGACCCCCATATTGCATGAAATGCTCACGACACGCATACCAGATTTCACCCGCCACTCTACTGCGCCCTGGATATCATTATTTCTCCTCCTTCTAGTTGCTTCCCCTCAATGCCATGTGGGTCCACGTCTTCAATAAGTTGGCCTATCGCTGGGGCCAGCATATCAGCCGTGACAGAAGCCTCTCGGTTTTGGAATTTTTTAATTTTCTCTTTTTCCCCTATTTTCATTTTTCAGTTTTTTCTTTTTGCCTTTTTGGGTTTCCGGTTCTTTTAATTCCGGTTTTTGGGTTTTTTTCTTTTTCATGCAAAAAAAATCAAAAAATACCTATAGACATGAAACTAATTTTGAATATCTCGATGCGACAAATCCAACATGAAAATGATTTGTGATTTGAACACAAGGTTCACGAGATAAAAACATTGGGGGGGGGGGGATATGGTAACAAAGAAAAAAACTCCC